CATTATGCAGTCCATCTGTTTTCCCTTTACTTACACTCCATTGGGTGTGTGATAGGCAATCAGTTCCATATTGTATGCTGTGGGCCACTGTTTAAACTTTATCATTCATCACGAATAATTGTAATTTATATCTATTAAATTTAAATATATAAAGAATAAGTCAGTAGGTTTTGATCTCTTTGATCTCTCTCTAACAAATGTTCCTACAACTGTTACAGATCCTTCCCTAACAATTATTGGGACAAGTTTGTTAAAAGAAAGGTAAGCATTTAAGGTGTTAACTGAGGCAAGCAGAGTCTGAACCAGAAAATGTCAATGAGAACAATGAATTCAACATCAAACTAAACATGAAATAAACAGAGAGGGATGACATTGAGGGAGAATAATGAGAAAAAATTCAGAAACAAGACGGCATTTTGTAACATTTCCAATGACACTTAAATTCTGTAGGAATGTGTCCCCATATTTATAAAACAAAAAATAGTATTGGTGTATTGTTCGATAGTAATTAATATTTAACAGTCCATTAACAATTTATTTACATTAGAATGGACAATCCCTAACATTTCAAATGATTTTAACATGCATTATCACAATAGTACACAACTTCTGTTTGACCTATGTATATTAGTGCCCATTGTCTCAGTGAGATACTAGCATAGTGCAGCTTCTGAATGAGCAGGACACTCCAAGAATAACTTGCCGATATACACTTTAGTTACATATGGGTGGTTGCTCAACGTCACTGTTGAATTTACACTTTAATAAAGATGAGCACTGAAATCTTCACCGTTATTTTTACTGCAAACACTGTTCAACATCCTTTGCCCTCTTTGTCTTCAACTTCTCCACATTGATATAGCTGGCAACTTAATCTTTTTCCTTCCATCTGAGGACCTTTCTTATTCTTATTTTCCTTGCTCTTCATCAGTGAAATTATTCACCTTCTCCAATTTTTATTTTGTATTCAACAGGTCTGTTCCACCACATTATGAAGTGAACTAGGGCATTTACAATTTTAATTGTAATAGTTTCTGTAGGTTTGTTGAATTTATCATGAGGATGTTTCAGTGTAGCTGTATGACTTTTGTTTTAATTAGGTTATTAACAAATATGGCGATCTTTATGGAGTTGAACGTATTGCTGAGCTTTTGGGCGTGGACAGAAGTGCATTAGATTTTAGTCCCATCAAAAAGCCCCCAGAGCAAGAAGCAACATTGGTATCCTGGTAAGTGATATATGCTGCTATTTTTAGCTCTTAACTCATGGAGAGGAGATCCAAAAAGTGACTTAGCATACAGAACAAATAAACTGTTCTCCTAATTTATCTTTCAAATAATGTGGGAAATCTGTCCAAATGTGATAAATGGAGCAACGCATTAATGTACTTTATTTTCAGTTTTGAACTCTGTTTTAAGCACATGGAAAAGTTGTGTGAAAGGAGATTTTTTTTATCATTCCATAATCTTATCCTAAAGTGAAGTCAGACTGACTGGTGCATTTCAATTGTCCCATGTTACTGTGTTGAACCAATGGATCCAGGCAGCCTGGGATCAATCATTAAGGGATTTTTTTTTGTGAGCAGTAATATTAGACTTGCACTTGTTTTCAGACTTCCCACAAGTTTTGCAAGGCAGGTTTGTGTCAGCAGGAGGTACAAACAGTGCAATGTACTCTACAGCATATCCAGGACCTGTGAGGACAGGACAAGCAACTACAATCAGGCTAAAGAGGTATCAAGGAACAACAGACAGTGTCATCCAGAGACTGCCAGCTTGAATAGTGAAGTAATTATAAAAGCAGGGACTGGCCTGGACTGGTTGGACCAAAGGGACTGTTTAAGTGTTGTGTGACTCTATGGAACCAAAACAAAATAAAAGACACAGAACAGAAAGAAATTGTGATTAACTTGTTAAATACTGATTCAGCTTCATTGGAGTATTGTGCCAATTTTGGCCATTGCATGTTAGGACGACTTTAAAGGGTTCTATAAAAGACTTATGAGAATTGATTGGAGGGTGGCAAGTTTCAGTTAAATGAATAGACTGAAGAAGCTTAGAGTTGGTTTCCTTAGCAGAGAGAAGGTTCAGAGGAGATTTGACAGCAAAGTTTATACTTGAGGGTTCTGGGACAGAGCAAATCAAGATAAATTGTTTCCTGTGGTAACAGGTTGAGAATTATAGGACACAAATTTTAGATGAGTGATAAAGGAACCAAAGGTGACACAAAGATAAACTTCATTATGCAATGAATATATAGGATCTATAATGCACTGTGAGAGAGCATTATGGACTCGGATTCCATTATGGCTTTTAATAATGGCTTTCCATTACGGATTTGGATAAGCGCCTAAAATAAAAACAAAAATGCTATGCTACGGAAATAAAGGAGGGGTGTAGAATAAGTTAAACTGCACTAGCAGGGAGCCAATGTAGACTTGATGAGTCATGTGGCCTCTTTCTCTGCTGTGACCATTCTGTGATTCCCTAAAAAGATATTTATAGTTGAATTGAGCCAGTGATTTAACAAAAATTAGATTTAAAAAGTCACAAAGCATCATTCCATTTTTAAAAACATACAATAATTCAAAGCAGAAGGAACACGACTCTCCTTGCAAAGAAGATAATTTTCAGTACCAGAGAAATTATCTGATAGTACACTACAACTATGTGAAGGATATTTAGGCTGAAAAAACCTTAAGATTTCTGGCAAGTTTAATGTATAAGTACAGGAGTCGTATGATTCAAATGGGAAACCAGTCGGTGGGCTGTCATTTTTGTTCAAAGTGTTCCATATCTAACAGCAGCTTTCAGATTATTATGTTTAACCGTGCATTTGCAGCTTGAAGTAACTGTCAGTTTTGTGCATTAATAGCATTAGTCTCACTACTATTTTCACAGCAAGATCTAACTTAGTGTGGCTTCAAGGCTGGGGAAAGCTACCTTCTGTTCTTGCTCCCAGGCAATCTCCAACCAGTAGTTCTAATATATTAACATCAGATGTGAATTTTAATAAACTGAAAACTGTGTGTGACTGTGCTGTCTTCCATGATCGATTGCTGTTAGGAACGTCCATTGTATGAAACTTTGTGCCAGATGTCCTACATCAGAAATTTACCCCAACAGCAATGCAGATCACATTTATAGCAATTAGTATTATGGATTAATGATCAAGATTGATTTCTTGTGTGGGGAAGCAAAAAGATGCCCTGTGCCCTATCTGGCCTCACCATGAAAACAGAAAATGTTTCTCTTCAAAGAAAATTTACAATTTGATCAAAATTCAAAATACGTTTGAACATTAAAAGTAGTTTTTTTATTTTTGTAGGTTGAGTTCTATTGATAAAAAGTATCATATCTGGAAGCTTGGAGTTGTCTTCACTGACAATGTAAGTTGAAATAAATGCAATCACTCATTTGACATAAGTGTATATGACATAAGCATATATATTTCTATATATGCTCACCTTTCCCACTTAGTGAGTCAAGATACTTACGTACAAGTCTGAATATAATGTTTTTTTATTTCTCTTTACAAACTGAATGCAAAAAAGCTGTGGACCCTGACTTGTGCTCCAGATCTAACTGCAACCTTAACAGGCTAACCCAGTACAGGGACAGTACTGGCATCCACCCAATAATGTGGAAAATTACATTGGAGTAAGTCCTCTCCACAACAGACAGGACAAGTCAAATCTGCCAAATACTATCCCATTAGAAAAATAACAGAATATATCATCTGCAGTATGGTAAAGAGCACTTGCTCAGCAATAACCTGCTCACCAATGCACAGTTTGAGCTCCACCAGGGCTACTTGGCTCCTGACCTCATCATATCTTAGTCCAAATGTGAACAGTGGAGTTGAATTCAAGAAGTCAGCTGAGAGTGACATCGATGTATCATTTGACAGTGTGTAACCTTCAGCAGAGTTTACAAAATTGAATTTAATCAAAACAGTGAGGGGTTAGGGGTGGGGGATTGGGGTGATGGGAGTAGGGGAAGACCAATTCTCCACAGGTTTGAAGCTATAATATTGGCATCAACCCAGCAACGAGGAAGATTGCCCAAATATGTCCTGCCCACAAAAACCAAGACAAATCGAGCCTGACCAATAACTGCCCCATCAGTTTGCTCTCAATCACCAGCAAAGTGAGGAAAAGGTTTGTCAATAGTGCTATCAAGCAGCACTTGCAAAGGAATAATTTGTTCACTGATACTCAGCTTGGGTTCCTCTAGGGGCAATCAGCTCCTGTCCTCATTATTGCCTTGGTCCAAACATGGACAAAAGAGTTAAATTCTGGATGTGAGGTGAGAGTGATAGTCTTTAACATTAAGGTGGCATTTGACAGTGCATGGCAACAAGGATCCTGAACAAAACTGGACCCAGTGGGAATTGGGAGAAGTAACCGTTAGTTGGAATCTTGTCTGGCACAAAGGAAGATGAGAGTGATTTTAGTCATCTTAGAGCCAGAACGTTACTGTAAGAGTTCCTCAGGGTCCTTGTCCTAGCCATCTGCAGCCATTTCATCAGTTACCTTTCCTCCATTATAAGGTCATGTAGGAAGAATTGCTGATGGCTGTACACTGTTCAGCATGTTCACAGCTCCTCAGCTACTAAAGCATTCTATATCCATATGCAGCACACCACGACCACATCTAGGCTTTGAATGATAAGTAGCAAGTAGCATTCATGTCACACAAGTGTCAGTCAATGACTATGCCCAGCAAAAAAAGAAACAGACTATTGCCCCTTGACATTCAATGACATCACCATTGCTAAATCCCCACTGTCAACATAGTGGTGGTTACCATTGACCAGAAACTGAACTGGACTAGCCATCTAACCTTTGCTACAGTGCAAGTCAAAGGCTAGGAATTCTTTGGTGAGTAACTAACCTTCTGTGTCCCCAGTGCCAGTCCATCATCTATCAGTCACAATTGAGAGGAGTGATTGAATGCTAACCACTTGTCTGGATGCATACAGTCCCAACAACACTCTGGAAGCTCAATATCATCCAGGAGAAATAGCCCGCTTGACCCACCTACCAACTTAAATGTTCATGATATATGCCACCAATGCTCAGTGGCCGCAGAGTGTATCATCTACAGGATGCGCTGCATTAACTCACTGGGCTCTGGCAGAATCTTCCAAGTAGACAACCTCAGTAACTGTGAAACACAAGAGACGCTGCCTCATGAGAAAATCATCACCTGCAAATTCCACTTTAAGTCATTGACCATCCTGACTTGGAACTATCTTGTTGTTGCCTCACTGTAGCTGAGTCAGCATCTAAATGGTGATCAAATCCAATCACTTCCTGATGATAGCAAAGTTCTGTGGGCCAATTTCTAGATGAAAAATTTAGATTTGCTGAGGGGAGAAAACAAAGATTTGGTGATTCATCATCCTAGTTCCTGACTTCAGGAAGATATAGAAACTGAACCATTTGTGTTCCACATGTCTGGCAAGAAAATACAGCTGTGACCCAAGGAACTGTGTCATTTCCTTGCAATTGCCAAGGATTGAAATGTGGTAGCAATATTAATGTTAGCATTTCATTAGACAGCAAATCGTGTCTTGTATCCAAGTTGTAGGAATTCTTTTGTAACTTTACACAAATGAAAATAATTTAATTATGGCAATTAATGCTTGCAAAATTTTGTAATTTAGCTAATATTTAATTTTATATTTTCTATTTACAGTCATTCTTGTATCTGGCGTGGTACACCTCCATGTCCATTTTGGGTCACTTCAACAACTTCTTCTTTGCTGCCCACTTATTGGATATTGCTATGGGATTTAAAACACTCCGTACCATATTATCATCTGTAACTCACAATGGCAAGCAGGTGAGAACTTCAGAAAAATCATATCACCTGGTTTGCCTCAAATTGCAAGAAAGGCATTCTGTCCAAATTAGTTGATTTATCCAGAAAGTGTATGGACTCCTATCTATTGCAGATTCTAATATTTGCAAAGGTATTTGAGATTTGGGGGCGGCACAGTGGCTCAGTGGTTAGCACTGCTGCCTCACAGCGCGAGGGACCCAGGTTTGATTCTACCGTCACGCAACTGTATGGAGTTTGCACATTCTCCCCGTGTCTCTTTGGTTTTCCTCCAGGTGCTCCGGTTTCCTCCAACAGTCCAAATTTATGCAGGTTAGGTGGATTAGCTATGCTAAATTGCCCAGTGTCCAGGATGTGCAGGTTATGTGGATGCTCTTCGGAGGGTCAGTGTTGACTCAATGGGCCAAATGGCCTGCTTTCACACTGTAGGAATTCTATGAATGTATGATTATTCATCTTCACTTCTGTATCTGGGAGGCTGTTCCATATTTTGATTATGGAATAAACAGCACTGAAGAAGGCCATTCAGCTGTTTGTGCCAGTTGCTGATATTAACAGTATGTTTATTATCTTGTTACAATATGCAGATTATGGGCAAATACTTAAATATTCAGCGAGCTTAGATAAAGGGACTGTTGAGACACTGGTCGGAAGCAGATAAAAGTTATGCTGCATTCTGCGAATAAACCTAACAAACATCGAGTTTCATACTTCACCAAATTGTTTAGAATCAGTAAAATGTATCTAAGGAAGGATGTGCTGGTGTTAGAGAGAGTTCAGAGGAGGTTTATAAGAATAATCCTGCGAATGAAGGGCTCGTCATGTGAGGACTGGGAGGGGACTCTTGGTCTGCCCTCAATGGAGTTTAGAGGATGAGTGAGATCTCATTGAAATTTACAGAATACTGAGGCCTGTATAGATCGGCCATGGAGAAGATGTTTCCACTAGGGGGGAGACTAGGGCATGAGGGCACAGCCTCAGAGTGAAGGGACAACCCTTTAGAATTGAGATGAAGAGGAATTTCTTCAGACATCTCATTGTTGCAGAGTTGTGGAGGCCACATTAAGACAGAGATAGTTAGGTCCTTGATTAGTAAGGAGATAAAAGGTTATAGGAGAAGGCAGGAAAACGGAGCTGAAAAACATATCAGCCATGATCAAATGGCAGAGCAGACTCAATGGGCTGAATGGTCTAATTCTGGTTCTGTATCTTGTTCTATATCTTACAACAGCTATCTCTTCTGTCAATAGAAGCATTTTGTCCATGTTTATGTTTTCAAAACCTTTAATGGCTTTGAACACCTCTGCTCAATCTCCTTAACCCCAGCTTCTCTAAGAAGAACAAGCTCAGTTTCTCCATTCACTCCATTTAACCGAATATCCCTATTCTTGGTACTATTCTAGTTAATCTCTTTTGTAATCTCCTTTTACAAAGATTGATATCCTTCTTAAAGTGTGATGTTGGGAATGAACACAATACTGAAACTTGTGTCTATGTAGTGATTTATGAAGCTTTAGCATAACTTGTTCTTGTGCTCTTTCGTTTAAGTTTATAAAGCCAAGGACAAAGTATATTTATTCTATAACCTTGTTCTACAACCATTAAAGATTTCAATCCATAAACTTTTAGCTCTCTCTGTTCCTGCATCCCTTTAAATTTCTCCATTTTGTTTATATTGCTGCCTTGAATTCACTTTTTGTAAAAAGCTTCATCTGTCACTCCTCTGCAATAAATATTATTTGGCGTTTTGCTGGTCATTTCACCAGTTGATGTCATTCTGAAGTCTGCAACAATCCTACATAGTATACACTATTGAGTTGTGTTCCATCTGTGAACTTTGAAATTGTATTCTGTGTACCCAAATTCAGGTTATTTAATGTACATCAGGAAGAAAACAGCTTCCGTACTGAGTGTTAGGGGTGCCACGGCATATTTCTTTCCAGCCTAAAAAGGACATGCTGATGGAGGGATGGTTGTTTTTGGGAAAACACAGTTTATATCTACTTCACTGTTGTTCCTTTAATAGATCTTATAAACATAGAAATGTTACAGCACAGAAAGAGGCCATTTAGCTTCATATGTCAGTGCCAGCTGAATAAACTAGCTATCCATTTAGTCACACCTACTTTCCCTACACAGGATCCATAGCCTTGCAGGCAACAATGCTTTAGATGTAGATCAAGATTCCATGTAAACACATTGAGGCTTTCCACTTTAACCTGAAACCAATTTCCTGAAACCAAACACTGTCTGGTGAAAAAACATTTTCTTCATGACCCCTCTAATCCTTCTGGCAATCACCTTAAATCTGTGGCCCATGGTAATTGATCTCTCTGCTCAGGGAAGCTGTGAGATTATACACGTTGGTAGACGATATTTCTAAATGTGACAAGCTTCAGAAACTGAAGCATAAATGGATTTAGGAATCCTAGTTCAAGGTTAGCTTGCAGGTTCAGTTGACAAATGCAAATGTCAGCATTCATTACAAGAGGCTAGGATACAAGAGCAGAGATGTACTGCTAAGGCTGTGTAAGACTCTGGTCAGACTGCATTTGGACTATTGTGAGCAGTTTTGGGCCCCATATCTAAGGAAGGATGTGCTAGTGTTGGGACAGAGTCTGCAGACTGACCTGCCTATAGTTATTTGGCCTATACCTCACAACCTTTTGAATAAATGTTTGCAGACTCTCTCATTTCCTCCCTTCTTGTCATGCTTATTTTGACAATCCTCCTCTTTAACTAGAATGCCTGCATCATCCCCCTCCTTTGACAAGACAGACACAAAATACACATTTAGAACCCTGCCCACACGTTCTGCATCCATGTATAAGTTACTACATACATCTCTAATAGACCCAAACTTCACTGTAGTCATCCACTTGCTCTTAATGTACTGATAAACTATCTTTGGATTTTCCTTAATTTTACTGACCAATATATTTATATAGTAAAAACTGAAAGAGTTGTGGATCCTGTAAATCAGGAACAAAAACAAAGTGCTGGAAAAGCTCAGCAGGTCTGGCAGCATCTGTGAAAGAAAAGTTTCCTCAGTTCTCAGGAAGGGTTACCGGACCCGAAACGTTAACTCTGTTTTTTCCCTTCATAGATGCTGCCAGACCTGCTGAGCTTTTCCAGCAACTTTGTTTTTGTTCCTGAATATATTTACATATCTTCTCTTTGCTTTCTGACTTGGCACTACATATTTCTATACTCCATTAAGCTTCTGAAAAAGTTACATATTTTTTCAAATTGTGATCTGATTCCCTGCTTTGTCTTGCCATGTATACTTCTCTTTCTTTAGGGGACCCTAGATTTGGCAGCACCACTTTTTTTGTGTGTGTGTGTACATGTCTACACTGCACCCATAGCACCTTGCAGTGGAATGCTACCCACTGATTTGTTAGTGATTTTCCTTCAGGTATCTGTGTCCAGTCTATCTTTCCAAATCATCTGTCAGCTTTGTAAGGTTTACCTCCCCATCCCCAATTTATAACTTGTACTCCTGCTTTCTTTTTGTCCCTTTCCATAATGAATGTTAAGTCTGACTGTGGAGGCTGACATTCGAAAGGTTCATTTTTAAAATGAGTACTTGTCAAAATGTAGAGCATGGAAGGTGTAATATGTGATACAGAATGTATATTTCTGCATGTACATTAAGCTAAAGTTCTGGCCAAATTCAAGTTGAGCCTTTCCTCTTGATTTAGTCAAGTACCTAGAGAAAACTGGCATTCCTTCATTTGAAAACGTTGCTTCTTGTTTTGTGCAGCTTGTGCTGACTGTTGGCCTCCTGGCTGTGGTGGTGTACCTGTACACAGTGGTTGCTTTCAATTTCTTCCGCAAATTCTACAACAAGAGTGAGGATGAAGATGAACCAGACATGAAATGCGATGATATGATGACGGTATTTATTTGTGCACTTTGTGGGTGTGGTGAATATTCCATAGAAATCCAATTCCAGGAATCTAATATCTGTGCAGTCAGAACAAAGAGTCACGTTAATTTGTTCACTTATCTGTGATGCACAGAGTGGCATAATTCATCTTTGTGTATATAACAGAACAATTTCTTGAAGGTCTTCCTCTAGTGGCTACCAATTCATTATTGAATTATAAAGAATATCGTTATTACTTAATCTGATTAAGCCTTCTATTGATTTAAGGAAAGACTTGAATTTATGTAGCACCTTTCACAACAGATCATCCAAAGAAACTTACAGACCATAAAAACATTTGACATTTTCAGAAGAAAAGCACAGCTCAGTAGCTCCATTGCTATATAACCTGGATTTACCGGTGAGCAGTCATGTGCACATTTTAACTGCCACTCTGGAATACTAACCTTCTGTTTCCACTTTTTTCTCCCTTTTCTTCCACAAAGCCCCTCCAGGTCGACCATCCTTCTCCTGTTGTCATCCTCCTTTAATTTGTCTCCCTCCTCGGTACTAAATCTTTACCCCAATCTTTCAGTAGTCTTCAAACTTCTTATACTCTGGCTGCAGTTGCAGACTTGACTGCCTCTTACATAAGCTCACTGATTCCTCCTTAGCCTTTCTTTGCATCCTCTGAAAGGCTCATCAAGGTAACTCAATGTTACCTGTTTATGACGAACAACCTGAGTTCTGCTCTTGCCATTTTTCTCCTTGTTCAGGTTGCCCCTTTGGCCTTCTGTTCTGCTTGACATTCATGAAATTGCTTAAGCGTAGCCTGAACTCCAGCTTCAACCTCCGAGTCCCATACTCTCACCCTGGCCATTCCCCATGTACCACTCTTTTCTCTGGTCACTTAGGTTCAAGAGAAACAAACTTAAAATGATTTGGCAGCCAAGTAATTTAGCATTGATTGCCAGATCACAGAAAATATCATTAGGCCCTGAATTTCTAACTGCTTTACTGCAAGCCATTTTCCTGAACCCTTCTCCTCTATCTCGTCTCCTTTGTATCTCTGTCTTGTAAACCACTGATACCCCTCAAGTCCCATTCAAGCTTACCCTGTCTGTGAAAACCACTTCCAGTTCTCTCAATTCCACTTCCACAAACCTGGTGACCCACCAACTTCCCTTCCTAGTCCCCATGTTGACTCATACTAATATTGATTCCCCTGCTCCACTGCTGGGCTTCAAATCTGGCATCGTCCCTGTCCTCAAGTAAAATAAACACATGACTCCTTGCAAAAGTACCGCCCCATCTCCAAATCCCCTTTCCTCTCCAAAGTTCTTGAATATGTTGTTGCCCCTAAATTCTACCCAGAACTCCATATGTGAATCCCTGTAACCAAAACAGCTCCACCAAGATTAAAGTCCCTGTTATCCGAAATTTTCACGCACCTGACAATTGATGGGAGTAGTTTCCTCACTGTGAACTGATCATTCTGTTGCCTTTATCTATCTCTCCTTTTGACGATATCTCACTGACAGACCTTATCAGTGATCCTGGCCATTCATGTAACCAGCAGCCCCCATTACTGGATACTGAGGAGTTTACTGTACTTTCTTCTGGGGGTGGTGGGGTGTTCCTGATGTACACAGGACAGTGGCTTTGAAGATAGTACTCCATATTTTTAAAAAATTCTAACAGCCTGGCCACTGTTACTCACCTGCCCACACCAAACATATTATGTCATGACAGATATGTTGGCTGAGCTTATACAAGCTTAACAGACATTAATTGTTCATATGTAGACAAATTACTAATTTTGGGACCTGCTCACCCTCTGTTATGGTGGAGTTTGGGAAAGTGATGTTCTCGGCAATCTATTTTACATGCCTCTGTGCTGAAAACAGACCTCAAAGGTCTGTAGTATCCAGCCCCTAGACACTAAAGACCTCAAAGGTCTGTAGTATCCAGCCCCTAGACACTAAGTGTCAGTATGCCATTAATCATATGGGACATCACATATAAGACTGATCCTACCCTCATACATCAGATGATCACTGGAAAACAATGAATTAGGGTAGAATCCCACACCCCCAACCCAGAAACAGTAAAGATAACTTAGAATGCCAGCCAGCATCAACTAATTAGTTAACAAAAATCTTTAAAGAACCTTGTTGCTGCAGTACTTATTGAATGGTGAATGACTCATTTTCTACCTTCCAGTCATAATTCAATGCTTCCTGCCTTGGTAACACATTTCAATCTCTGACAATATGTAACATATTGTTGTCTTTGATTTTCAGTGCTACTTGTTTCATATGTATGTGGGTGTCAGAGCTGGAGGTGGCATTGGAGATGAAATTGAAGATCCTGCTGGAGATCCTTTTGAAATGTATCGAATTATCTTTGACATCACATTCTTCTTCTTTGTTATTGTCATCCTACTAGCCATAATTCAGGGTATGTTTTCTTACCATGAAGAAATCTTATTTTTAATACATTCTTTCATCCAAAAGCTTTAGGGCTATTCACTCTTTAATTTCTGAGTTACATGCCAAATATGATAGGTGTCGAATTTTGAGTATTTATGTTCCGGTACCTTGGCTAGATATTCTCTTGGTTGGTCTACATTTAGAATATATCATAGTTTATATATCTCCATATAATGAAAGGAACATACATAATTAGCAAGAGTCCACAAAGGACCATAGGCATCTTCTCCATTACACAGGAAGAAAATTGGTTTTATATAGTTTGAGGAGCATCACTCTACAAGTATGGAGGTAATGCAAAGGGTGTAATAAAGAAAATTACTGGAATAAAACCATAAAATTGCTGGAATTATACCAATTAGGCAAGATTCAAAAGCTAGGTTATTTTTCTCAGAAGAGAAAGACTGAGGGGTGACCTGATAGAGGGTTTTTTGTAACATCATGAAAAGATTTGATAGATTTGACATGAAGAGAGTCTTTCCATTTGAAGACAATACCAGAACTACAGTCTATATAAGATAATCATTAATAAACTCAATAGGGAATTCAGGAAAAGCTCCTGGTTACAATGTGTAGAAGTTGTGGTGAATAAAGTTGGTGTATTTACAGAGAAATTAGGGAAGCACTTGAGGAAGAAAGATGGCAGGAGGCTTGGGTCAAGCATAAATGCCAGCACAGATATTTTGAGTGGATCGTCTGTTTTTGTGCTGTTGTAACACTTTGTAATTTTGTTAGTTTTGACTATATATAATACAGAATGTAGAAAAATTCAATCTGATGACATCTGCAAAAAGTTATTTATATGTAGACAAATAAATAAAATGTTAAATGGTACAGGTACATAGGTAAGTGAACATCCAAATGAATCAGTGATCCTACTTATCATAAAGGGAGTATATTAATTAAAATGCTCGCTACATCTTTCCTGATATTTGTCCTAGAATTGCATAATTCATGGACATGTGCATTTGATAATTAAAAGTAGATAAATTGTTTAAAAGGACAAGAAGGATATAAAACTATGGTTCAAAAATTAATTAAATAATTGGATCAAGAAGGTTTGAAATTTTTTTTAAAATCATAACATTGTTAATATCTCAGCACATTCAATTATGTGTGTGCGTGAGACTTCAGTAACAATGTAGCGAAAAATGCAAACTGCTGAAATATTGCTCACACTAACTCTTTCTGCTCTGGTTAGGTTTGATTATTGATGCTTTTGGTGAGCTGAGAGACCAACAGGAGCAAGTGCGAGAAGACATGGAGGTCTGTTTCTTTTGTAAATCATATTTTGTTTTTATACCCATTTCATTGAATTGATATTGACTCCCATTTTCTGTACCTCAAATCTATTGATTCAAATATCAATCTTGATTAGGATTCCACACTGTGACAGGCTTCTGACCATCCACCAACCCTCTGCCTCAATATTTTGTTCTTTTTCCTGTGCTGAAGTGAGCAGTTTGATGAATATTGGCAAATTTACTTGCTGTTCCTCATGATCTTGTATTGTACTGATACCACGACAGTCAGTCAGTATTTACTGAAATGTTAGATACCCACCAAATGACAATAGGTCCCTCAGAAGTTAAAGAAATGCTAAGTGTTATTTATATTGAAAAGGAGTTAAGGTAATGATTCAAATAAGTTGTTCTTTTATTGATCCCCAGACCAAATGCTTTATTTGTGGAATCGGCAACGATTACTTTGACACTATACCACATGGTTTTGAGATACATACTTTACAAGAACACAACCTTGCAAACTACTTGTGAGTATTCATTTGTTTATTCTGCATGTATGAACTGTGTACGTGAGATGTATATAAGAATCATTGTAAATTAAAGTCAGGTTAAGGTTTGCTTTCGTCTTACTTTCATGACTGGAAACATAACTAAGGAATGAGATTGCTTTAAAAATGAATTATTTTGAGATCCAACAACTAATTGCACATGGTGACTCTGATGATTCAAAGTAGAATATTAGAAGCTGGGGACTTTTATTCCACTTAGGTAAGGATCTATATGACTTAACATTCCATTCTGTAAAGGTTTTAGCATTTCCAGAAATCACCAACTTCTCTCAACATGTCACTCTGAGATAGGAGTGCCAGGAATTATGATGAAAGGTCATTGGCCTGAAATATTAACTGTTTCACATTCCACAGATGCTGTCAGACCTACTGAGTAATTCCAGCAGTCTCTGATTCTATTTCAGATTCCCAGCACCCGCGGTATCTTGCGTTTGTAAATGGGATACTCATCCTGGAAGCATTCTTGGGAGTTCAAATTGTGTCGCATTAAAAATATTATTGCATTCTTTTCCTTCTCAGCAATGGGAATCACTGACTTGGCTGGCAATTATTGCCTGATTTATAGTTGCCTCTGAGAAGTTAGTGGTGGAAATGCTCTTTTACCTGCAACAGGCTAAGTGTTATTGGGAATTCAAGGATTTTGATCCATTGACAATGAAAGGACTGTGAAGCAGGGGAACAATGATTTGTAGATGGTTTTTGGCCCAGGTACTTTCTGCTCCTGTCCTTCTAGGTGTTGCAGATTCCTTGCAGTTGAGTATCATTGCTCACAGTTTTGACACCAGTCACTGTCATATGAGATGTTTCTAGAGGGCCATCTGTCAGCAGGTGACAATGAGAAATTGAGGGCAAGAATGAGGGGAACCTAAAGGTCAGGGACCAGTTGACAAAGAGAAGAACTTGACTTCATCACTAATTGATAGTAACATCAGTAACACTTAGTTACTGCCAGAATTCCCCTACATTCATGAAAAGGTGGTCAGGATCGCCTCTCAAAACTATGAAAAATATCCTCTCTCTCTTGCTTGAACTTAGAATTGGTGCCCGATTATATGTATAGGTGACAACAGGAAGGCTGCATTTGTGCCAATCTGTGTTTAGACTTCACATGTTAAAACTTGCCAGCAAAACCAACATGGACCAAACTGAGAGAAAACAGAAAGTGCATTGAACTTAGTGTTTGGGGGAGCTTGGGCTAAATTCAGCTTACTACTAATATTTCTGACTGGTACAGGTATGAAGGAGTGATCGGTCTATTCCAGTTCCTATTTCTTAGAAAAAACAGTTATCTCATTAAATGTCAATTTTCATAGAATGACTGAATTTACATAATGACAGTAGGCCCCTACTGCATGTGCCAATGAAGGCACTCTCTCTTTGACGCATATCCTTCCTTACGTCACTCGGATGTTCTTGCAGAACTGCTGTTCTGAGTTATCTGGAAATGGTCGGCCACTTGCCAATTTCTCAGTATGCAAGAAATTCCAAGAAACTGGAAGCTGTTTCCTCCAATAAAGCCCTGACCACTCTATCTCCTACTAACCTGCCACCACCACCCCCGACCATTTCCTGGCCTTTCTCACTCCCAACACGCCAACATGGACAAAAACTTGACAGATGGACTGTAATGCAGAAAGTATGAGGTTATATGCATTTTGGTAAGATGAATCAAAGGGCAGACTATTGTTTAAATGGAGAGAGAGACACTCCAAATGAAGTACAGTACAGAGGGATCTGGGTGTCCTTGTCCATAGAACATAAGAAGAGAGCATACAGGTACAACAAGTACTTAAGAAGGTAAATGGAATATTGGCCTTGATTGCTAGGGGGTCATAGTTTAAAAATAAGGAAATCTTGTCATAACTGTGTAGGGTGTTGGTGAGGCTACATCTGGATAACTGTGTACAGTTTTGATATCTGTATTTTTTAAAAAGATATTCTGAAATTAGAGGCAGTTCACAAGGTATTTACTGAGGTGATTCCAGAGATGAAGGGATTGACTTACAAAATACAGCTGAACAGTTTTAGTAATAAGAGTTTAGAAAAATGAAGCATACAAAATTCTGAGCAGGCTTGACAGGTAAATATTTCCACCATTGGAAAAATATAATTCCTCTGGCATTTTGAGCCAGAGGATGTACTTACAAATTAAGGGAACGCTCATTCAAAACTGACATGCAAAGGAATTTCTTCTCCCAGAAGGCAGTGAATGAATGCCTAGAATTCTCTGTCCCAGATTTAGAGTCTCGAATGCTAAAAGTATTTAAAGAGCAAGAAGGTACGTTTTGAAGTATCAGAGAGATGGGTGCTGTGAGGAGCTAGCATGAAAGAGACAGATTGGCCAAGAACTTATTGAATGGCAGGCCTGGTTAGAGGGGCTGAATAGTTTAGTCCTGCTCATATTTCATATGGACATCGAAAGTGAAGGTGAGGATATGGTTGAGCAAATCAGCAGCTGCAAAAATGTTGTGGGAACAGAAGGTCAAAGGTTAGATAATAGGGATTTTGAAAGTGCAGCTATAACAGAATTGGATGATGTTTTCTTTCAAGGGTTGGGTGCAAAAGGAAATGCATTGTAATGGGTAGGCCATGATATTGAACAATTGTGACATCAGAAGCAAATAGTAATTTAACTGAGGCTTACAAGTGTTTTCTCTTTGTCAGGTTCTTCATGATGTACATCATAAAATATTTGTAATGTGCAGACCAAAATAAAATCTCTCCACTGACCCAAGATCTTGCTGATTTCATCCAAATTCCTATAATCTTATTGATTATGGTAGGAAGATAACTGTACATTACAGCACCTACTCCAAAGAATAATGCGTGCAGGGATATTTACCTTACAGATGTATACAGCCTATAGTGTTTCATATTCACAATGTTGAATTGCATATGACAGTATTTTGAGACCTATGTGAAATAACTGAAGTTGCTTTGGCATTTTATTTGTGCGGATTTTCAAATAGTCTTAATATCCAACCAATAGCTACTTCTAGCAAGCTTTCCAAGGAGAAATTGAGGCAGGATTTGGCCAAGACACTAGAGAGGAAAGCTAGTAAGTTTGGGTAAATTAGGGCATTTTTTAGGAATGGCTGATAACACTAGGTAGCTTTGCAAGTGGCTACTAGAAGAAAAGCATCCTTTACCATGCAACAGTATCTTTTTATGTATATATCTTTATATGGAGTAAACTGGTGACAACAGAGACAGCAATTTGATTAGGCGAGGTCCCCCTGATTATCATGCACTTTTCCCGAACATTGCCAAGGGCCTGGATGGCAAAAAATGCTCACTATTATTCCTTGAGAAAGCCCTTGTGTATGTCAAATGTAGTAGAGTTGTAATGTAACTGGTCAACATCCCTTAACCTGAGATTGCCTATCTTGACAATACCCTGCATCTGCAGAAAAGATGGTGATTTTATGAACATAAAATATCAAAATACTAAATGGTGATATTTAATCCTACCCTGAGTTCTCTTGAAAGATTCCTTTCATGATATTGAACAATTGTTACATCAGAAGCAGATGGTAATTTAACTGAGACTTACAAGTGTTTTCTGTTTGTCAGGTTCTTCATGATGTACCTCATAAACAAAGATGAGACTGAACACACTGGTCAGGTAAGGAGCAATATCTTGAAAATGAATCCAAAAAAAACTGTTAATTTTTGTTTGTTCAATCAAGCAACAGAAAGGATATATTTGAGGCTGTAATGGGTTTCAACTAC